AAGACCAGCATGGTCTACATAGTGAGTTCTAGGACAGCTATAGAGTAAGACCTTGTCTCAAAAAAAGAAAACCCTAAAATCCTGCACCAGAAATTAGTGAATTAATAATATACAGTAATTTGTTTTGTCTATTTTTTAGACTGGCCTGGAACTCTTTATAATTAGTGGATATTCATTGTATGCACTAATGGGTTTCATAAAGACATTTTTTTCTAGTATGTCATGTACTCTGACTGTATTCTCAACCCCATGCCCTTTCCTTCTCCTGCCCCCACTAGTTTCCTTCCTCTTCTGGATTGTCCTGCTTCTACTTTCATGTTGTATATGTAAACGATTTAATATATTATTTTAAGTTAAAGCCACATTTCAAGAATGTTTGATTCTTGTAATGATTTCCTCCTTTAACTGACATTTTTCACTGATGTAGTGACTATACGCTAGAAGACAATTTGTAGAAGTCAGAGGACAACTTGTGAGAGTGGTTCCTCTCTTCCCACCATTTGAGTTCCTGAGATCAAACTTAAGTCAGGAGATTTGGCGGCAAGCACCATTACCCACAGGGCCATCTCACCAGTCCTAAATGCATCTGTTTTGTTTTAATTTTTTTCAATTCTTTTTTTTTTTTTTGTCTTTTTGAGACAGTGTCTCCCTGTAGCCCCAGCTGGCCTGAAAGTTGCTATGTAGACCAGGCTGGCCTTGGACTCACAGAGATCCACCTGTCTCTGCCTCCCAAGTGCTGGGATTACAGGCGTGTGCCAGCATGCTCAACTTAATTTTTTTCCAATTCATTTTTATGTTTAATTATATGTGTATGTGTATGGGGCAGGGGTGGGTATGTGCACATGAATGCAGGTGCCCACAGAAGCCAGAAGAGTCAGGTTCCCTGGGATCTGGACTTACAGGTGGTTGTGAACCAACCAACATAGTTGCTGGAAATTGAACTTAGGACCTAGCAGTAAATGTTCTTAGCCACTGAGCTGAGCTGTCTCTCCAGCCCCATCACTTGAAGTACAGTTTCATAAGCAAAGAATGCCATTTTGTGATGTAAACAGTATTGTAAGCTTGCATTATTGATGTTTCTTAAATTGGGTCAGAACTGCCTCTTTTTTCTGTTTCCTGTGTGTTTGGCCATAGCAGCCCCATTCAGATCAGTGAACGGCAGCAGGCAGTGTGGGTGGTGAGCGTGCCTGTGGACAGCTAGTTCTCATCCCACAGAAGACAGCAAGGTAAATGTAGCAGAACCCAGCATCAGAACACCTGTGGCTACAGTGGAGGTGAGGAGAGAGCAGAGGGCAAAGCATTCAGCCAGGATAAGTATCTTCTCACAGAGCTGGCCAGTGGCCAGAGCTACTGCCAGGTCATCTCACAGAAGGACATGACCAGGACACTGCTCTGAGACAACTTACACTCTAAATGTCATTTAGTTTAAAACGTGTAGTTATTAGAGTTCCATCTAATTTGCCATAGAACCCACTAAAATTTAGAGCAGTATGGGAACTAAAAGAGTAGATTCTACAGATGAGTATGTTTGGATTTGAATCTTTCATTCTGTACTACTTGCTAGTTAGGAAGACCAGACTTTGGAAAGATTATAGAATCTCTATAAGCCTCAATTTCCTTGTTTGTAATGAGGATACTAATAATACACATCACATGGAAAGTGAATGTGAGTATTCAATAAGACTGTTTAGCACAGTACCTTACATGTAGTAGGCATTCTTTAACTGTGAGATAATATTTTTTTTTTGAAACAGGGTCTCCTTGTAGACCTAGTAGGCCTGTAACATATTATGTAGACCAGGCTTTTGAACTCAGAGATGTACCTGCCTCTGCCTTTCGAGGGCTGGGATTAAAGGCATGCACCACTCTGCCCAGCTGATACTATCTTCTTAATATATTCCATGTGTCACAGGCTATATTAATAGCCCTGTAGCAAAAGTGCTCAAAAATATTTTTTGAATATTGGTTAAAATGTCACTTTCTTAAAGTATAAGTTACTAGGGTACATATCAGAAGTGGACATTGTTAGCTGGGCATGGTGGTGCACGCCTGTAATCCCAGCACTTGGAAGGCAGAGGCAGGCGGATCTCTGTGAGTTTGAGGCCAGCCTTGTCTATATAGAGAGTTCCAGTCCAGCTGGGGCTATAGTTGTATTATTTCTATGGAAAAATCAGAGTTGACAGACTTTATTGATATGCAACATGTTTTGTCCTTAGAAGTGCCTGCCCTCTTTGGATTGTGTGTGGTAGATGTCTCCCGCCCCTTTTTCTAAATATAAATTTTATATCTTCATATGGATATAGAATTGGGTGGAACAGTCTGTTAAGTATCTCCCCTTACTTTTAATGTAATGTAATGTAAGTAAGTATATATAGTACTGTTGGTAGAAAAGAGAAAGAAATACAGCAAAAGACTTTGATGAGACAAGACCTTGAAGGCAGATTTAGCCCCAGGGAATCCCTTTGATTCTTTGTCTTGAAGAATATACTGGGCCTGTGATTTATCAGATAGTACTAGATAAACTCAGTGTATCTATGGTTCACCCAGAGAAAAACAGGTGTACCTTTGCCACACACACGGGAGATTAAAGGTCATGATAAACTCCACTAAGATGTTCATGGCCTGACCACTAGCTTGACTAGAGCAGATACGCCCCTTTAGAGGGCCTTATGCTCTGCTGTAGTGAAGGGGTGGGTCATTCTGAGAAACCTACCGAAGTCCAAAAGCTGTTTCTTGATATTGTCATCTCAGAAATGAGAACGGGCTGCATGCACAATCTATATTTATTCCATCTACTATTTGTGCAAAATAAAACACACTTGTGCCCAACCAATGTGCTGAATGAAGAGATAAGAGAAATGGCATTTCAGGAGGGCAACAAGAAGAAAAGCACCAGTTATCTGTCAGAGAGTTATAAAACATGTATAGAAAGGTGGCATTCCAAGAAAAGAAGGACGGACCCTAGTGGCACAGAATAATGTTCTAAGCTGGGGACATTTCCTGAGAGGCAGCACAGGGATGACTAAGCAAAGTGGGATAGCAAAAGTGGGGTAGCATCAGCTTCCTGGTCAGGGTAAATGGGTTATCACAGGAACAAGTTCACATTAGTGCAACCAGTGCTGAAGGCAAGAAAACAAGGAGGATTCCACTCACAATCTTACTCATTATTTCACTCCCTAAATAGGGAAGGCAGGAATTACCTGTGGGTTCTTTACTAATGGCGCGAACAAAGTACTTTGGAAGGACAGTTTGGAATAGTTAGTTAATTATGCATCCACGAGTTAAGAGTTCATAGAGTTAGGCAGAATAGGAAAAGTGGGAAGAGTGCCATCAGGAAGAGGTGGGACCTCCTAAGCACAGATGGGTGAATGGATATGCAGCGTTCTGGGGTTGTGTGGGACAGCAGCACGAAATGGAGACAGTGAGTCAGTTATATCAAGCACTTAGTCTGCTTTCAGGTGTAAGAAAGATTACCCGAGTAGGATAGATATGCCTGTAGTTCCAGCTACTTGGGAGGCTGAGGCAGGGTAATCATTTGAGTCCAGAATTTGAGGCCAGCCTGGGCAACAAGATAGCAAGATCCTGTCTCAAAAAGAAAAAAAAGAAATATTGCCTTAGTTGTTGTTAAGATTGGTTTGGGCAAATATGGTGGTACACGCCTCTAATCTCAGCACTCCAGAGACAGACGCAGGCAGATCTCTTATGTTTGAAGTCAGCCTATCTTCATAGGGAGTTTCAGGCCAACCAGGGCTACATTGTCTCAAACAGTAAAACAAACAACAGAAAGAATCGGGTTTGGAGAGAGCTACACTGCACCTTCAGGAGCTCTCTCCTGGCTTATTCCTTGGTGAGGACTGATCACTGAACATGGATGGGAAGAGAGGCTAAACAGGTACCAAAGGGATTTTGTAGACATTTGGATGGCGTTACGAGGAAGAGAAAGGAGCCAGGTAATGTTTTCTCGCCCAGCTGGCTGGGCGGATCTTTGATCAGTGTTGGTGCAAGAGAGTTCAAGGCACAAAAGGATAGTGTGGATCATTTCCAACATTTTGAAGGTGAAAGACCTGTGGGATATCCTAATCCAGCAGGTACAAACTCACATGCACATTAGCAGCACAGAGTGAGTAAAGTGCTGCAAATAGATGCAACCTCCAGAAAGGCTGTTTAGGTTGAGTGGCAAGAATGCCCAGGATCTTAGAGAATACCCAGCTTGGTTAGTGTAGGCAGAAAATGCTGTGTCCGCACACATTGAGTGTATTGCTTGCATGTGTGTATGTGCACCCGTCATGCAATGCCCACAGACGTCAGAGGAGAGCGTCGAATTCCCCTGGAACTGGAGTTATGGATGGTTGTTAGCTGCAATGTGAGTACTGGGAATTGAACCTGGGTCCTCTGCAAAAGCAGCTCTTAACCACTGGGCTGTTTCTCAGCCCCAAGCATACTTTTTTTTTTTTTTTTTTTTTTGGTCTTTTTGAGACAGGATCTCCCTGTAGCCCCAGCTGTCCTGGAACTCACTATGTAGACCAGGCTGGCCTTGAACTCACAGAGGTCCACCTGCCTCTGCCTCCTGAGTGCTGGGATTAAAGGTGTGCATCACCACACCCGGCCCCAGGCATACTATTTTAAATGACCGTTTTGTCCATAAGTTTATTTTTCTGTGTCTGGGGGTGGGGGCCATGACACATACCTTTAATCCCATCACTTGGGAGGCAGAGGCAGACAGATCTCTGTGAATTCAAGACCAGCCTGGTCTACATAGTAAGTTACAGACAGCTGGGGCTACAGGGAGACCCTGTCTCAAAAAGATTAAAAAAAAATGTTTTTTTTTTTTTCACTGTGAACTTCAAGTGTGTGACTGTCTATGCTGGAGTTTTAGATTTCACTGATATGAATGATTATTGCAAAAAAAATTGGTATTTTTTGTCATGACGTTAAACTTAAATATTTCAAAATGACTTTAGTATACAATCAGTTCCTTTAATTGCTCTTTTCCTTCACAGGAGCTGATGCAACAGAATGGGATTGGCTATGTGTTAAATGCCAGTAATACCTGTCCAAAGCCTGACTTCATACCTGAGTCTCACTTCCTGCGAGTGCCTGTGAATGACAGCTTTTGTGAGAAAATTCTGCCGTGGTTGGACAAGTCAGTGGATTTCATCGGTACGAACCTCAAGTATATTATAAGTTCTTTGGATTATAGTGTCAGAGATAGGTATAGCCTTTCCCTTCCCTTTTTGCCTATTTTACAGATTTCCAAAAGTCTGAAAATAGCACGTGATGTTGCTTACTCATTTAGTGGGCAAGGTGATGTGTGCCATGCTGTCCCTAAGGGGACAGCACCTTGTGACCTGCTAGCTAACTTTTAACAGCACCAAGGTTAAGCCTTGCAGGATCTGGTTATGTGTTGCAAGTGTTTAAAAATCAGCTAAGCTTTTAGAATTACCCTTTCCCCTCCCGCTCTGCAAATCCTGTGAAGCCCACTGATACACCTGGGTGGTATCCTCTGTTGTCTTGCTGCTATGCCCTCTCCAGCGAAAAGTCAGATCCTGCGAAAGCTTCCCATTGCCCCTGACATCTTTTCCTATGTTACAAGGTGTCTGAGCTTCAGTCCATCTATCAGTACTTCCAAGTAGTTTGGGTGCAGTGAAACTCCAGTATGTACACATACACACACAGACGTACTTCCTTGGCGGTGGCTGTGACAGAAGCCGGGCTGCACCGACTTTATTCTGTTTCCTTGGCCCCATCAGGAGCTTCTCTGGCTCTTAGGTGCTGTTGCAGCCTGGCACCGCAGGCTCAGGTGTGTCGGTAGTCGGTTGGCGATAGGGACTTGGAGGCTGGTGAGCAGAGAAGGAAACTGCTGACTCTTGAGCAACAAAATCAGGTGCTGACTCCTTGTGTTCCATGAAAGGAATTTTTTTGTTTTTCCTCCTATAACATAAGTTTGAACACTCAACTCCATAATTGAGTGCTCTGAGTTGGTTATTGGAAATAAAGGAATCATTTCCTTGTAGAAAGCAAAACTAGGTACATTAAGCCCCCAGTGTACTTTTCATCTATGAGACGGATTTTCTAGGTAATGATTTTGAAGCTTTGGGTAATTCTGAAACAGTTCTCTTTTTCAAGATTTCCAAGTTTTTGAGAATTTCCAGTCTTTGAAACACCTCAAGATTAAAGGCCATAACTGTTCACATTAAAATAATCATAAAGATAATCATGGTTAATGTTCCCATTGTGTGTTGTGTTGCTCTAGAGACATGATCCAGGCTCTGATTTCAGTGAATGTCCACAAGGAACTTGATTCTTTTAACTTGTGAGAGTGTCTAAGCTATAGAAGGGAAAATGTGAATAACTACTCCCAGAGAATTTTCTTTTTCTATGTAAGATATTGGGTCACCATGCCACTTTTCATTACAGAAAAAGAACTTTACCATGTTCTAAGTTGGCTATATGTACATCTATATATCTATGTCTCTATGTATGTATGTATGTATGTATGTATGTATGTATGTATCTCTATCTATCTATCTATCTATCTATCTATCCATCCATCCATCCATCCACAAATTGTAGTTTGTAATATCTGTAAATATTTCTATAATTATTTCATTTGTTTGGTCCTATTTACTACAGCCACTGCCCTATCTCATTCAAATAATTCAAGATAAAAATCATTTTCACGTAAATTTTAATTTTATTGTCTGCATAAATAACATAGTTTGCCTGCTTGTGCTCTAGAATACTCAGAAGGTACCCCGAGCCCAGCTGTCTCCCCATAGAAGCCCCTGCTCCCTCCTCACAGTCTCATTGGCTCCTGCCCCACCCCACCCACATCAAATCCATAACTTAGTTTATTCAAAGGATGTACTTTGGAACCAGACTTTGAGTCCTGCCCCTGGTTATTTGTTACATGGTTGTGGGTAACTAACTGACTTAAAACTCATGTGCCTGTTTCCTAAAGTAGAGACTGAAAATAGTAGACCCACTTAATAGGGATGCTGTGAGGGTTAAGGTGGACAGTGTGTGTAACAAACCCCTTACAAAGTTCTTGCTCATAGATGGCTGTGAAGAAATGTTTTCATTTTTCCTCTCTTTCTCTCTCCCTACCCTCCTGCCCCCCTTTCTCTGCTGCTTAGGCTGTCCTTGAACTTAAGGGCTTGCTTAGCCCTCCCTGGTAGCTGGGACTGAAGGCACTGCTCCCTCCTCTGGCTGACAGAGGTTATCAAAATGGCCCTGAGTTCCTCCTTTCCCCTCTGTAGGGCTGTGTGCAACTCCTCTTAGTCTTCAAGGCCTTACTTTTAGCTTTCTCAGTCCTTGTTCTTAATGAGTTCTCACTTTAAAAAAAAAATTTATTGTTTTTATGTTTACGAGCGTCTTGTCTGCATTTATGTGAGTGCACCTGTGTTGTGCAATGCTGCAGAGGTCAGAAGAGGGCTTTCGGATTCCCCTGGAACTGGAGTTAAGGATGGTTCATAGCCGCCATGTGGGTGCTGGGAATCGAACCCGGGTCCTCTGCAAGAGCAGTCAGTGCGCTTAACCCCTAAGCCATCTCTCCAGCCCCATGAGTTCTCACTTCTTAATCTGCAGCCTCCCTCTCCTTTTTGTTTTGTTAGAGACGAGCGTCTCACTCTCATTTTTTAAATCTAAACATCATCCCTGTCTTTCTGTAGTGCTAACCTGCTCTTTGTACTTCTAGTTTAACCATCTCTGCCTTCTTGTTCCTCAATCTAGAACCTGCAGATGCTCATAATTTCCTACAGAAATTGTATCCTTTAGCTTAACATTTTCAAGAGACCACCCCCTAGCATGTGCCCCCACCTTTGCAACCTCCTGTGGTTATTTCCTACAGGGCTTGTGAGCACCAGCCCAGGCCAACCTCCTTCTGAGTACTGTTCAGTCCCACACAGGGTTCCCTACAAACCCTTCCTTCTCTCTGCCAGGTGTGTGTCTGTGTGACTTCTCTGCTCCGGGTTAGCACTCAGTCTGTCAGGACCTATGTGCTAATGAACCCCACTCTAGAATAAGCACTTTTCAGTTTAATTTTTAAAAGTATATCAGATCAGTTGCCAGCAGCTCCTCAGTGAGGGCTGATTTTTCTCACCCACTTCCCCACTTCTATGCTGGGATTTTTTTTTTTTTTTCTGGTTTGAGCTTACATGGGACTTGTGATGCTGTCACCTTGCCATGAGTTCATATGAGTAACTGCCCAGCTGTCTGGAAACTGTCTCCTTGTGGTCACCTACCTCTTCTGGCTCCAACAGTTCCCTTCCCCAGTGATCCTTGAGCTTTGGGAGGCAGAAGTTGGATATAGGTACCCTAAACTGAGGAACTATTAGCAACCAATGGCTGCTGGGAGGAGGGGAGTCAGTCTGTGAGGTGTGACTGGGTAGGTTAACTAGGCTCCAGGGGATGGACCCACACTGAAGGGCATTTGAGGACACAAATTTGACTCTATAGGCCTTAAATAAATATTAGTACATGAAATTTGGCAGGGGGGGTAGTAAGGCGGATGCAGACAGGGTAGGGGAATCTGAATATGAAAAAAATATATTGTATGAAATTCTCAAATTCAGTGAAAAAAACTTAAAAAGAAAACCGAAACATCAAATTAGTTGTGGTATAAACAGCGTGAGAGCAGTGAGGATGCCGAGAACAACGGACACCTGTATCCTTAAAACTGTGATGTATGTTATTGTTCAGGCTTTAAAAAGTATTTACTTATTTTGGATGTGTTGAGTGTAGGCATACATGTGTAGGTCAGAGGAGAACTTTGGGGGGGTCAGTTCTGTCCTTCCACTGTGGGATCTGGGATCAAACCTCAGGGTCAGACTTGTACAACAGTTGTTTTTACCCACTGAGCCTTCTTGCCAGCCCCCCAGTTTTGTTTTATTTTGTTTTTGAGACAGGGCCCCCCTGTAGCCCCAGCTGGTCTGGAATTCCCATGTAGTCCAGGCTGGCCTCAATCTCAGAGATCTGTTTGCCTCTGCCTCCCAAGTGCTAGGATTAAAGATGTGGGCCACCAAATCCAGCCAGATTTTTTTATATAGAGTGCTTTAAAAAAATATGTCAGTCAGCTAGCCAACCAGTATTAACTACCTGTATAATATATGCCAGTATCTGATCCATGGGGGAGTGTAAGAAACGAGACCCTCTAGGTCCTTATGGTCTAGTGTTTTAGATAATTATTAACAATAATGAGAGAATATTCGGTCAACATTAAGAAAATGTAAACCAAGTGGCTTTTGTCTTTTTGGTGGTACGAGAGGTAAACTTAGAGCCTAGAACATGCTAGGCAAGTGCTCTTTCACAGAACTACGCTCTTACCCCTTCCAGGTCTTTTCGCAGGGGTTTGGAGCGGCTTCCAATAAGGGATTGGGATCAAAATACACACATCCACACTGAAATGGGATCGAGGGGGAAGAACCAAATCATAGGACACTGGGAGAGGTGCACTAACTATGATAGAACATCTGATTTGCCAGATCTTAGCTGAAACTGAAAGCCTTAGCTTGGAGCTTCTTACTAGCCAAGGAAAAGGGAGAACATGCTGTGGCCTAGAGGGTTCTCCATCAGTGTGGACTGTATGCATTGGTTCTTGTTTGGTTTTCCTGTCTAGGAGGGAAGCTGCTTGTTGCTTGATGAGTCATAAATGACCCCTAATGAATTAATGCACGTAATGAATAATAAATCACGTAGACCAGAAATTTGTATTCTAGTCTGTGAGGTTGGAATGGCTTTGAAGTATTCAGCTGCCAGAGCAGGTTCCTGTATGTCTGTTAATTAAAAATTTCATCCTCAGCTTTGGTATACTTGTGGTGTGTCAACTAAAACAAGATGAAGGTGGAAGGCTTTGTCCCATGGCAACAGCTTTATGCCTAAGCATATGTGCAGTTGTTCAGAACTGAATCAGGCATGGTACTGCTTAGAATGCTGGTTGCTTCCAGGCTATGGGGATGCTATCTGCTCCTCCATGGAAGCTTCTGATGCCTCTCATCACTGTCTGAATCCCCTGGCTCTGGTTCTAACAATGTTCCATGAGACCCTCTATCACAGTATCGGGAATTAAGACGATGCAACATGATAGTAACTCCTGGTTCCCGAGAAAGTGATCTGCTCTATCATGTCCATGATTTTGTGTTACGTTAAGCAGATAGCTTAAGGTAGCTATCTGACCCCCAGAACCCATGGCTTGTGCTTGTAATCCCAGAGCTGGGGTGGCAGAGCAACCCTGGGGCTTGCTGAAGCACCACAGAGCCTAGCTTATGTGATGACCACCAGACCAGTGAGGGACTCTAAAAAACAAGGTGGACAGTGCACCTGAGGAATGACAGCTGAGGTTGAGCTCTGTCCTCCACTTATATGCATATACACATGTACCCGCATACTTGCAAGCACACAAACATGCATGCACACACACACACACACACACACATATTAAAGTTTAGCCATTTTATGACATACAGAAGTTTCCTAAAGGAAAATAGAGTCAACCCCCAGCACAGGAGGAAAAAAAAATAGAGAACATGAAGACAGGTTCTGGGAATTTCAGTATTTTATTATTCATGCCTGTATTTATTTCTCAGCATCTAAAAAGTAACTTGGGCTAGGGATGTGGGTCAGTGGTAGAGAACTTGCCTAGCATGCTTGAGGCCTGGGTTCAGTCCCTAACACCTTAAAAAAATACAAAGTAACTTTGTCTAGAATTGTGAGATTGTCATTCAGTCTCTCCCCTGCCCACCTTTTTTCAGAATACCAGTGTGTGCCACATGCATTTGGAATAAAAATAGGTGTTTAAAAAATAATCTCTTAGGTAATTAGAGAAAAAATTTGAAATGTCAGACAATATGAATAAACAAAATATATTTTAGGTGTGGGATTTTGAATGGTCCTTTCCTTCTTTATATATTTTTCTGTATTTCTGAACAGTTCTACACTAAGCAAATATAAAATATAATATATGATTTATATGTAGGAATTTTATTAAGTACTGTAAAAAAATATATGGTGACAGGGAAATAGATCAGTTGGTTAAGTCCTTGCCTTGCAAGCAGGAGCACATGAATTTGAATACCCAGCACCCATGTAAAAAGCTGGTCATGCGTGCCTATAATCCCAGTGCTGAGGAGGTGGAGAATCCCTGAGGCTTGCTGGCCAGTCAGTGAGCTCCAGGTGCAGTCTGGTGCACACAGACACACACACACACGGACACAGACACACACACACGCACACAGGCTGGGTGTGGTGGCACTTGTAATCCCACCGCTGGGGAGGCAGGGACAGGCTGCGGGTTGGGGTCTAGCCAGCCTAGCCTCCTTGACCAATCTAGGCCAGTGAGAGACTGTCTCAAAACAGAGCAACAGACCAGTGGACAGTGCCTGAGGAACAACATCTGTTGTCCTCTTGCCTCCACACTCACATGCACACATATGAACACACACAGAAAACATATGGCAAAAAAGTACTGCAACGAGAGCTAGACAACCCGAGGTTGTCGTGTCGCTCATTTACACCATGGGATCTTAACTGCTCACAGTAGGCCAGGGGTAAGGGAGTTATTCTCCCCTCCCTCCTAAAATACTAATGAAAGGATGAGTAGGACATAAGTAGATGAGACGAGACTGGCTTTGAAGTTTCTCAGGTGAAGTCATTGAAGGTGACCCTGAGTACAAGATTTCCTTACTGAAAAAATGACTAGTGACCTTCCTTGAATTTCTCCTTTAGAAAAAGCCAAAGCCTCCAATGGCTGTGTGCTGGTGCACTGCTTAGCTGGAATCTCTCGCTCCGCCACCATTGCTATTGCCTACATCATGAAGAGGATGGACATGTCTCTAGATGAGGCTTACAGGTGAGGACAGGAACATGGCTTGTGGGACTGGCTTTTCATTTTTCCTAGAACAGAGAGAGCTATGAGGGAGGGGGAGCAGATGAACACAGATCAAGACGGTTTGGGTCACACTTGTCACAGATTCCTGGGGCTGTGAAGTGGTCTTGCAAAGACTTGAGGAGCACAGCTCTGCTTAAGAATTCATTCTGCCTAATGTGTCATGTCATCCTCGGCTACTTTTAAGTTTAAGGAATGACGGATCAAGTGAGTTTATTCCTTCCCCTCAGTGGAGAAACATCACTTTTCTAATTTGCATGTGGGGAAAGCAACCCTAGCATAACACTTGTCAGTCAGCTCTGCTTCAGACTCTACTGCAGAGAGGCAAAGGCCTACTACACTCAGGAATAAAGCCTATTTTGCAGGTAGTCATTTTGACTTGGCTACTCTCTCCCTGTCTCTCGGAGGGGAAGGCAGAGAGCGGCAGTACTCCAGAGTCCTGGCATCCTGTTCAGTGACTGATGAGCCCGAGTCCCCGGCATGTCCTGTTGGGTAGAGGTAGTTAGTTTTCATGTGAGAAAGAATGAAAATACAGGTTCATGGAATTGGCTTGTTTTTTAATATTTGAACTTCTCAAACTGTAAATTCTGGCATAAAGAAATGAGCTGCCTAAACACCTTGTCTTTGATGGAGACCACAGGGGATGGTCCTCTTTTTCTACAATAGCTCTCTCCTCCATTTAGGTCTCTGTCCTGTTACCCTTCTGTTCCAAAGCCAAATGGGAAGGCCTGCCCCTCACATCATGTTAAAAAGTATTATGTGGAATCTACATTTGTGCTTTCTGTAATAGAACCAGTTATTTCTGGTTTTAAATTGATTTGGGTTACTTGATTTCCATGAGTTATGATTTTTCTTACTCATAAATTTTCAGTGTAGCTTTACTCTCTCCTGAAGAATTTGTCCCACTGCTAAGGACCTGTTTCCTCAACAAAACACAAAAAGCTGGGCTAGGGATCTAGCTCAGTACCTGCCTAGCATGCACAAGGCCCTGGCTTGAGTCCCTATCACTACAACAAACTTCAACCACATAAAAGCCATCATTAGTTTTCATGCTTAATAATTTTTTTTTTTTTTTGGTCTTTTTGAGACAGGGTCTCCCTGTAGCCCCAGCTGGCCTGGATTCGCTATGGAGACCAGGCTGGCCTCGAACTCACAGAGATCCACATGCCTCTGCCTCCCGAGTGCTAGGATTAAAGGCATGTGCCACCACGCCTGGCTAATCATTTTTACCATGGAGGTTACATGGACCATACATTAGACAGTCCTGGCTTTGAATCCCAGGACCATTGTTTAGTAGCTATGTGATTTGGTTCAAGTTAACTTAAGGACTTTGTATACTTACCTGAATGATGAGGTGCCTGATCTAAGGGTAGGTTTGAAGACTAAATAAGTAAGCCAGCACATTAGCGTAGTGCTTAACACCCAGAGCCCACTTTGTAGCTGATTCTTCTGTCACTTTGAATATAAAACGAACTGGTACTCTGACACTTTGACCATCTGGTACCTCCGTCCTCTCCTCCCTCCCTCCCTCTTTCCTTTGTTGTTAATTTATGAGAAGTGTCTTGAGAAGTGACTACAGGGAGTTGAAGGGGGGATATTGGAAAGTTGAAGCTGGCAAATGACCTAACCCTGTCCTAGTGCATGTGTGTGCATGTTTGTATGGTGGGGAATGAAGATTGAGCAGAGTCCTCTTATCAACTGCATTGGAGTCTTGAAAAGAAGGAGGCTACGTCTGGAGCTCTGAGCCCTGGAGGCAGCCCCCTAGTGTGCACCACGCCATGCTAGAGTATCCCTAATAGAGTATTCTGCATTGTGAGCCATCACCCTGCATTTGTAAATGGATCATTTTCCACAGAATTTGGAAGGTCTATTAATGCCCTCTCTCATTATCCTTCTTTATAGATTTGTGAAAGAAAAAAGACCTACTATATCTCCAAACTTTAATTTTCTGGGCCAACTCCTGGACTACGAGAAGAAGATTAAGAACCAGACTGGAACATCAGGGCCAAAGAGTAAGCTCAAGCTGCTGCACCTGGACAAGCCCAGTGAGCCTGTCCCTGCAGCCTCGGAGGGTAGACGGAAGAGTGCACTGCCTCTCAGTCCACCCTGTGCCAACTCTGCTACCTCAGAGGCAGCGGGGCAAAGGCCTGTGCATCCTACCAGTGTGCCCAGCTTACAGTCATCACTCTTAGAAGACAGACCACTGACACAGGCGCTCAACGGGCTCCACCTGTCCTCAGAGAAGCTGGAGGACAGCAATAAGCTCAAGCGTTCCTTCTCTCTAGATATCAAATCCGTTTCATATTCAGCCAGCATGGCAGCATCCTTACACGGCTTCTCATCAGAAGATGCTTTGGAATACTACAAACCTTCCACCACGCTGGATGGGACCAACAAGCTCTGCCAGTTCTCCCCAGTTCAGGAAGTATCAGAGCAGACTCCAGAGACCAGCCCGGATAAGGAGGAGGCCCACATCCCCAAGAAGCCCCAGCCCAGCAGACCCTCAGACAGCCAGAGCAAGCGGCTGCACTCGGTGAGAACAAGCAGCGGGGGGGCTGCCCAAAGGTCCTTCTTCTCCCCACTGCATCGAAGCGGGAGTGTAGAGGACAATTACCACACCAACTTCCTTTTCGGCCTTTCCACCAGCCAGCAACACCTCACCAAGTCTGCTGCAGGGCTGGGCCTCAAGGGCTGGCACTCGGATATCCTGGCTCCCCAGACCTCTGCCCCATCCCTGACCAACAGTTGGTATTTTGCCACAGAGCCCTCGCGCTTCTACTCTGCTTCAGCCATCTACGGAGGCCATGCCAGTTACTCTGCCTACAGCTGCAGCCAGCTGCCCACCTGCAGCGACCAAATCTATTCTGTGCGCAGGCGGCAGAAGCCCAGTGACAGAGCTGATTCGCGGCGGAGCTGGCATGAAGAGAGCCCCTTTGAAAAGCAGTTTAAACGCAGAAGCTGCCAAATGGAATTTGGAGAGAGCATCATGTCAGAGAACAGGTCGCGGGAAGAGCTGGGGAAGGTGGGCAGTCAGTCTAGCTTTTCAGGCAGCATGGAAATCATTGAGGTCTCCTGAGAAGAGACCTATGACTTCTATTGACAGTTTTTTCTTCACACAAAAAATATTCCCTGTAAATCTGAAATATATATATATATATATATATGTGTGTGTGTGTGTACATACATATATATTTTTTGGACTATGGAGCTGTGGTGTAAAAGCAAAAGATGGATCAACACAGTTGTTCTCTCTTAACACCTACACTGAGAGTTCGGCCAAAATTTCTCAAAATAAAAGTGGAAGTGCAGAGGCTGGAATCCCCCTAACCAGGAGAAACAGTTTTATTCATTTAATTTTACAGCTTCTTGTTCCTACAAAAGCAAGTTTATTTGATGTGAGGGGACAAAAATCCCCTCCCATTTTCATGTGCTACAGAGATCTCCAGAACTCATCTCTGGCCAGGCCCTTCCCAGGTATACCTTAGCGCTGAGACTGAGCCAGCTGTGGGTCAGGTGGGGAGACCCTCTTAGGGACAGAACCTAATGGTAAATCCAAGAGAAATGATCCTGTCCAAAGCGGATTCACAAATCCAAGCTTTCCCGACAGCCAAGATGCAGGCATCATTCTGCTGGACAGACCATTAGGAGCCTTGCCCAGATCTGCTTAAAACCAATCCAGTACCTCAGACAGGACAGTTGGGGCCGTCACCACTACCATGTCTGTTAGCCCTTTCTCTAGGCATTGTGAATAAGTAGGTAGTTGTCACTTTCCAGACCAATTCATACTGTCAGTGCACAGAATTCCAATGGGCCTGGATGAGCGGCTCCCTCTTCTCAGCTTCACCCAAGAAGGGAGACCATCTAGGGTTCAGCCTAACTCGAGATTGGGCAGTCAGGAAGCCTAATGATTTAAGATAAGGGTGGGAGGCTAAACAAGTCTCCTCCTCCTCTATAATAATCAAAGAATTGTCTAAAATGGGATTGTTAATCCTTTAAATTGCCCTTGAACTTGGATTAGGTAAATGTGAATCATTGGGGTTAGCAGAGCAGCAGCATCTCCATGAAGATCTCAGTCTAAGCTGATGCTTTCCAGTTCTGTTTCATGACAGATTAAAATTAGAGCTGGTAAGTGAAAGTCGCTGAAGAAAAGCAGGAAACTAATTTCCTTGGTGGTTTTTTTCCTGTTGAGTGTAACAAGGGTAGCATTTCTATAATTTTCTCAGCCTTCCAGATTTGCTAAGGGCTTTGGAAAGCTAGAAGTATTCAGAATAAAACATTAGAAAGGACAAGAGAAGTTTGTTAAATTTTGCTAAGTTGTGAATACAGGAAAGCCGTAGCCAAACCCTTTTCCCAGCATGCTAAGGAAGGGACATTTCAAAATGGAGGAGCACAGCAGTACCTCAGCCCCTGACCTGCAATCACTGTGTGGAGCTGAGCCTGGCAGCTGAGACGAGGTAATTAACAGGTGTACATGATTGTACATATCCACCTTTAAACTGCCTGGCTGGAGTTTTACCCTCTGAACGCATCCTCCTACGGCCTTCATTCACGTCAGCAGTGCCTGGGTAGGAGAGGGCAGGTGTCCTCACTGATCTTCACTGTCACGTAGCCAGCTGCTGACTCACATCTCAGGTTTTTCTGTTTTTGAAACGGATAGTCCTTTGACTAGGATGTGACTTAATGTTTCCTATAGTGACTGCTCAAACCAGCATAGAATGACATGATTCAGAGCTGACTGGCTTGATCACAAGGATTCTAGCCTGATAGACATACTAGTCTGTACAGATGAGCCGTGGTCTGGGCGTAGGATGAAGTCAGAGCGGACACTGCACAAGAAGGTTGCCACGCTGCAAGGTTCTGCTGAGCCATCTGACTGGTTTTAGATACGATTGCAATCTTTTATGTAATCAAAAGTTCTCAAGGATTCATAGTCATTTTTGATGTGTTGTGCACACACTGTAATAATTCACTCCTAAAATCTGGTCATACCTGGCAAGGCATTTTTAAGAAATGAAGGCAATGGCCTTGTCATTCATTAAGTCTGTTCCAGGAGGGTCAGGGGACAAGGCTTTAGTATATTTGAGCAGAACTTCACCTGTGCCATTTAGGGTTTCTTTGGCTTTGGTCCCCTTTTTATAACTGACGTAACTACAGTATGGCTGGCAGTCCTTGATCACTAATGCCAAAGTATCAGTTCTTGGAATTGAGACTACCATGTCAAAAGGGCAGCCTCTGAGGCATGTGGTGGAGTAGGTGGTGTGGTGCTTGGCCCTCAGCCTGTGAGCACAGGGAAGCCTGGAGTCTGCTGGGATGATGTAGAACAGTGCTTTTAAAGAGCAAAACCAGAGCCAGGCATGGTGGCATACACCTTTAATCCCAGTACTCAGGAGGGAGAGACAAGCCCATCTCAGTGAGATCAAGGCCAACCTGGTCTACATAGTGAGCTCCGGCCAGCTGGGGCTACAGGGAAACCCTGTCTCACAAAACAAAATGAGCAAAACTAGACCCTGAGAAATGCTGGAAATTGTTTAGAAGATTTGTAAAGTTAGTGGAAAGACTGTATAAATGTTTAATATGAATATAGTGTTCTTTTGGACTAAGGCAAGCTGTTGAATGGTTAATTGTGCATTTCTCATTTTGATGTGTCATGTATGTTAATGATTAAATAAAATCAAAACTGGTACCTGTTTATACATAAGTATGAGAACCCCTTCTTGCAGCTGTCACCTTGATGGGAATAGTCACATGCAGGCTGCAAAGACAGGCAGTCCTGGAACCTGCCCTGCAGTTCTCACATGAATGAATCTAGCCAGAGTAAAGCAGAAGTGGCATTAGACATATTACATGCGGCATCATTCTTGTGGAACACTGGCGAACACTGCAGTGTGGCCTGCCACCTGTGCTCCACATGCCAGGTGCACATGCCCATCTAAACACTTGTCCTTGTGCTCAACATTGGAAGAAAAAGATAGCTCCCTACTTGTGCATTTTAGAATAAGTAAGTGATTTTATAGCCCTTTCAGGAAAAACCGAGGAAGGATAGTTATTAAAGATCTGTTCTCAGGGACTCAGAACTTGGCTCAGTTGGTATAATGCTTGCTTTGCATGCATGAGGCCCAGAATTTGATTTAGTCCCATATAAACCAGATGTGGCGTGTAGCTGAAATCCTAGCACTCAGGATATGAAAGTAGGATCAGGAATTTAAGGCCATCTTTGGCTACACAGTGAGTTCAAGGCCAGCCTGGACTACATGAGAGGTATCTCAACAAAATTTTTTTAAAAAAATATTCTCCATCCTATGTATACCTTAATGACATCTGCTTATGACAGTCGATCACATGAGCCTAATCTTACCAGTTTAATAAAAAACACAAGAAATGAAACGTCAGTACCACAGCAGACTGAGTGACTATAAAGAAAATCATGGGCCAGAAAAATGGCTCAATGGATAAAGGCACTTGCCATGCAAGCCCAGGATCTGAGTTTGATCCCCAGAACCCATGTAAAGATGGAAGAAGAGAACCAACTACACAAAGCTGTCCTCTGATCTCCACAGGCACACCATGGCAGTGTCTCCCAACCTGTCCCCCCCAATCATAGGTGGGCTGGGAGTTTAGCTAAGTGGCAGAGCACTTAGCAGACATAAGGCCCTGGGTTCAGTCCCCAGTATCACAGAAGGTAGTGTGCATATGCATGTGTGAGTGTGTGTAAAATCATTGAAGGTGGATGTAGGAAATTTCAAAGCAAGAAGTATAGCCCTGCCAAGGAATGCATGAGTGTGCAGAATAAAGCAAGTGGACTAGCTCGGCCTCCAGAGATGGCAGGGGCAGAACCAGTACCCAGTGAGGTGTCAGGTTTAGATCTCTGGGCAGCCCTACAGTTTTCAAGCCAGTGTACTCCAAAGGCAGAGCTCAAGGCCTCACAGGGACCAACTAGAGCAGGCTGGCAGAGGATCAATTTGTGTCTGCCCTAGTTTAGCTTTTGTTGCTGTGATAAAATACCTTGACAAAAAGCAACTTATGGAAAAAGAGGTTTATTTCAGCTCATAGTTCCTGGTCACATGCCATCAGAGGGAAGTCACAGTGGCAGGAACTTGAAGCAACTGATCACAGCCACAGTCACAAGCAGAGAAAAACGAATGTACCTGCTTATACTTATGCTTGTTAGTGCGCAGTCCCCTTCTACACTTACAGTCCAAGATTCTCTGCCTAGGGAATGCTGCTGCCCACAGTGGGCTGGGTTTTCCCATATTGGTGAACATAAGAAGGTCCCCCACAGATATGCTCATGGGCCAACCCTAACTAGACAATCCCTCATTGAGATTCTTCCCAGGTGATTCTATATTGTGGGAGGTTGACGAAACTAGGCATCACAGAGTCTAATTTGCCAGGCGTGATGGCACACACTTTTAATCCGATCACTTGGAGGCAGAGACAGGCAGATCTCTGAGTTCAAGGCCAATCTGGTCTACATAGTGAGTTCCAGGCCAGCTGGGGCTGCAGGGAGACCCTGTCTCAAAAAGACTAAAACAAGTTAAATAAATTTAGACATGAGTTGGGCATGGTGGTACACGTTTTTTATTGAGGCACTTGGGCAGCAGAGGCAGGTGAGTCTGAGATTGAGGCCAGCCTGGTCTACATAACAAGTTGCAAGCCAGCTGGAGTCAAAATAAATTTGAAAAGAACTTTAGGGCTGGAGAGATGGCTCAGCGGTTAAGAACACTGGCTATTCTTAGAGAAGACCTGGGTTTGAATCCCAGCACCCACATGGCAGCTAACAACTGTCCGTAACTCCAGTTCCAAGGGGTCTGATGCTCTCTTCTGTCCTCCATGGGTACTGTACAACACAGGTGCACTTACCTACATGCAGGCAATACACTCATACACATAAAAATAATAAAATATTTTTTAAAAAAAGAACTTTACAGGGAAACAGGAAAAACACAGATTTCTGAGATGAGACAAAAAGCAAACTTGGAGCGAGTCCTGAGTGTCCCAATCAATTTGGTGAAGGGCAGGGACAGTAAACTAGAATTAGTTGAAGAAAACTTTTAGCTTCCAAGTAGTCACTGTTTTAAATACTTTGTCTAGCTTAGCTTTTCTGTCATTATGAAGGAATGAAGGGCTGGCAAGATGGCTCCGCAGGTAAAAGGTAAGCCTGACAACCTGTGTTTGATCCCAGCACACAAATGAAAAGAGCTGGATGCAGTGGCGTGGGTCTGTAATCCCAGCACTCCTGCAGCAAGATGGGAAGCAGAGACAGAATTACCTAGAAGCTTGAGGGTGGGCTAGTCAGCAGTGTGTAGGCAGCCTGACCAAACAAGAGACTGCCTCAAGGTAGGAGGAGAGGAATGACTCCCAAAAATTGTCCTCTGACCTCCAAACAGGTTATGTTAAAGTGTAAAATCAACTGGAAAATTCTAGCACTGTCTTGGAAGATAGTTACAACACTATGCTACAATTTATGTAAAAAGTCTCTCTTGGTTCTCGCTAAAACACGAGTGGGCTCAAAGATGCTGTCCCATGGGAAATACAAAACTGTGACCATGTGAAAGTGTCATAGGCAGGAGGATAACAAAGAGGGTCAGTTCGGCTATGGTCTGGTCAGGGAATTGATAACAGTTTTAATGACTGATGGATAAGAACTTGCTTCCTAAAAGCTTTTAGTGTAAGGTATGCTTCAAGCAATGAGCCTTAATTAGCAGAAAAATAACTTTCTTCAGTCATTGGTAAATTCTGGCAGGTTTTAGAGTATCACCAATAACTTTACAAAAAAAACAATTCCCTGATAAGAGTAACCGACACACAGAGCATGCTGCCCAGCATGCTGTTCGGACACCTTGGCTGTTAGCAATCAGGTCACTTGCATGGGTTGAATGTTCATGTTTGGCTAGAAGTATGTAAGTAATAAAGCCATCAGGTTAAGGTTCTCTCCCGCATCTAGAACTTTCCAATGGAAAGTATACTTGAGCCCTGTGGGTCAAGCCCTATGTGACATTCAGCATTGTAATATGTTAATGAGCAATGACACCCTCTGTGCACTGTTCAGTTGTAACAAAGAGGTGAATCATGGGGAAGCTGTTACTTCTAAGTTAAACAGATTTTATCCCCAAAATATCTACAAGATAAATGTCTGCTTCCCACTCATCCTTCACTTTCTGTATCAACATTTTAGGTAATTTCCTGAGTATATTTTGGCTTAGCTGAGATAGAAAATGAATCACGTTAGAATTTATTACTTTGTATTGTGTGTGTGTGTGTGTGTGTGTGTGTGTGTGTGTGTGTGTAGGTCAGAGATCAACCTTCAATGTCATTCCTCAGGTGCCATCCCTCTTGTTTTGACAGGGTCTCTTACTGGCCTCTAGAGCTCACCAAGCAGACAAGCAGTAGGTATCCACTTGCCTCTCTGTCTTCTGAGTGTTGGGATTACAGATGTAACCACTGTGCCTGGCTTTTTTGTGTGGATTCTGGGAATTGAACTCGGGTCCTCATGCTTGAGTGGCAAGCACTTTACCAACTGAACTCACTCCCACCCCTACACAAGAATTTTTTTTGGTTTGGTTTGGCTTTTGCTTGTTTTTTGTTTGTTTGTTGTTGAGGGTCTCACTATGTAGCCCTGGCTGGCCTGGTACTTGCTCTGTAGACCAGGTTGGCTTTGATCTCACAGAGGTCTGTTTGTCTCTGCCTCCTGAATGCTGGGACTAAAGGTGTGCGGCTACCACGCCCAGCCTCCTGCCCACACTAAAATTTTAACTTGTGCTGGTGACACTCTGTCTGAGGTTCCTAGTTTTCCTTGGACCTCACTAGGAGAAATTCTGAAGCTAAGTAAGGTCTGTGAACCAGCACTAACTGGCACATGCCACCTCTCCAGGGTCAGTGGCTTTATCTTGGAAACAGCCAGTTTATAACACCCATAAGGAGGGCATCACCAGTTTCTTTCCTAAATCTAGAGTTAAAGCAAAGAAATGCCCAGAGGCTATCAAGAAACAGACTCAAAGCCTCCTAACAAAGCAGGTGTGGCAGCACATGGTGTAATCCCAGTGCTCAGGAATGGAAGGCAGGAACATGGAGAGTTCCAGGCCAGCCAGGGCTATACAGAGACACTGACTATAAAAAAAAAAAAAGACTGGGTGACAGAGGAGGGCTGACCTAGAATGTGCAAGGCTCTGTGCTTCATTCCTAGCACTGAACCAAAGAAACCACAGAAGCAAAACAAAACCATTCATTCCTCTATTTCAGGCTGTGGAGTTCTTGAAACTCATTTCATCAAATATTTACTCTGCAGAGGACACTGGATAGATATCTAGGTTCACAGTATATTTCATATTCTGAGGAGTTAACTTTTTAAAATTAACATTTCTTGATTTATTAATTTTTTTTTACATGCATGAGTGTTTTGCTTGTGTGTAAGTGTACCGTGTATGTAGTGACTCTGGAGGCCAAAACAGGATGGCAGATCCCCTGGAACTGGAGTTGTAGGTAAGTGTTACCTACCATATAGGTAGGTGCTGGGAACCAAACCTGGGTCCTCTGGAAGGGCAGCCAGTGCTCTCAACTGTTTTCTCTCTAGCCCTGGGAGTTAACTTCTAAAAGAAGTCAAGAAATTATATATACAAGTATATGCATATCTGGGTATAATAGTAACTGTACATATGTATGATTACTAATCATACAACTTTAAGAACATAGACATGAAATCTACAACTATTACCTAAGATATTAAGGAGTCATAACCACTGTGTTCCTTTTGTGCATGGAGGGCTTTTTGAGATAAGGTCTCACTATAGCCCAAGCTATCCTTGAACTCAGTGGTCCTCCTGGTACAGCCTCCCAAACTGGGATTACAAGTGTGCACCACCATGCCTCACTATCACTTGCTATAATGTCATGTATTATGAACATCTGCACATAAAACGAGATAAAAGCTAGCGTCTACTGACCTTCCATTTGAATGAGGAGCCTGCTAGTTGACTTTTCATAAATACAGAGAAGTAGATTTACAGAAAAGCAAAGTAGTGTCTTATAAATGAACTCCAATTTATAATGGAGGGAGGGAAGGAGCGAGGGAGGGAGGGAGGCGATGAAAGAGGAAGGAAGAACAGGAGGGAAGGAAGGAGGGAGAAAAGGATGGAGGGAAGGAAGATGGATGTCCCTTGGGAGGTCACTGCCAAGCCCTAGTTAGGCCCATGCTTAGAGACAACAGGTAAAGATGTTCTTTGTTCTGAGTGTGGTGGCACAAACCTGTAATCCCAGCTTGTGGGGGAGGCTGGACACCAGGAATTCAAAGTCATCCTTAGTTACAAAGGAAGTTTAAGGCCTGTAGCCTGGGTTACATGAAACCCTGTCTCAAAAACCAAAACAAAGAAATGGAAAAAGAATTCAGGTTCCACCCTCCCAGCAGGACCATTTGCTGAGGACTGAGCATTAGCATTATGGGCCTTGCGGGGGGACAGTAGATCTAAAACATCATACCGGGGCTCAGGGAAATGAAATGGCCTACTAAAAATCAAGGCTAGAAACTTCGAACCAGAGCTCTCTAATAACTTCAGGCTTCCCCCTCATTCCCCAAACACCCCATAGTGGCCAGACAGGTTACAGGATATTAACCAATCAAGAGCCAGCATAATGGTGTCTTGAGATACACATCACTCAGCTTCTCAGACTCCACTGGGAAAGGATCAGTCAAGGTTCAGTCAGAGAACCACTCGGAACGGTATGGACTAGGATGTGCTACAGGGGTGGGACCTTCAGAAGCAACAGGGACTGGCAGAGACCTGGCAGCTACTTCTTCACCCAGGCATACGGCAGGGGGTAGTTGGGAAGGTGAGTTATGTTGCAGGACATCAAAGACAGACTCCTGCATAGACTGGGGTCTGTGCCCAGCTCTCCCCAGAACCCCCCGGCAGCCTTCTCCTCACACCCAGCACACTGTGGATGACCCCAGGGAGAAGCTAATACACTTGGCCTGGCCCAAGGTGAGTTCTGGGGGACCAGGAGATGCTGAGGGCCCAGCTGCTGCCCACACAAGCAGTGTAGTAGATCCCAAAAGATGTGCATGAGGTAGAACAGGGCCTGACCTGTATCAACTTTCAGTGTCCTGGTCCACTTCTAAATCTCATAGGAACCTCATTCGTGGCCACCCTCAATCTGAAAGAAGCACAAAGGGACTTCTGGGAAATAGTGCAGCTTAGCCAAGCTTACACTACCACAGACCACCTCACAACAACATACTGAACTATGAGAACCCTTACCGCCGAGCTATAACCCCAGCACTAATTTCTTTATACGAAGAAAAAGAGAACTGGATGCTCATAATTTGTGTGTGTGTGTGTGTGTGTGTGTGTGTGTGTGTGCGCGCGCGTGCGCGCGCCATGACCTTTCCGCACGTTCAAACCATGAAATGAGAAAGCAGGGGAAAGCCCAGCCCTCAGGGGCTGAGTCTGAATCACAGCTCAGTCACCAAGCACAGCAAGGACTGTGGTCCCTGACCCCTGCGCTGTTTGAACAGCTCTGTGAATAACTGGCCCTTCCTTCTTTGAAGGCTCTGAGCACACCTCTGTGGCCAGAGCTGGGTTCTGAACACTCCAGAAACTTAATGAAAGCCTGATGATGATGATGGTGGCTTACAAATGTCTCCTGTTGGGCTGGAAAAGTGGCTCAGCAGTTGCTGCTCTTGTAGAGGATCTGGGTTCAGTTCCCAGCACCCACATGGTGGCTAACCAAGTGACTATAACTCCAGTTCCAGGGCATCAGATGCCCTCTTCTGGTCTCTCAGGGCACCAGGCATTCATATGGTGCACATACATATATGAAGGCAAAATACTCATACACATGAAATCAATTTTTTAAATGCCTCCTGGGCTAGAGAGATGGTTCAGTGGTTAAGAGCACTAGCTGCTCTTGCAGAGGACCCAAGTTCAATTCCCAACACCCATGTCAAGCGGTTCACAACTACCTATAACTCCAGTTCCAGAGGACCTGATGCCCTCTATTGACCTCTTTGGGCATCTACATTCATGGGCACATACACACATACAAACAAACATATATACATAAATTTTAAAAATGCTTCCCATCAGTTCAGGTGAGGAAATGTGTTTGTTGTATTTGTTTAACTTTCTGCTGGTTTGAAACTTAGGAAAAAGGAAAAAAATTCCCAAGGGTATTGGGTCCTTGTCTAGCCATATCACATATGACATTTTGTGGAATTATAATATTAAAGCAGTATGAAAAATCTAAAAATAGCATGAAGCACTCTGGGGAAAAGATCAATGGATTAGAACGCAGTCTGAGACTAAATCCTCAATAATATACATTGAACACATGGCAGGAGGCTATTACATGGAAAGTCACTGCAGGGAAGGTGCTTAATGAATGGTGCCACCTGTCTTCACCCATGACATCCCCAGAACCACCTTAGGCTATTTAATAGGTTTCCAAGTTATAGAATCTCTTAATGTGTACCACCCAGTGAATTGCTCTAGAAATGATTTAAGACCCACTCATGAGACAGCATTATAAAGTCCGCCTTCACTAAGAGGGGCCCACTCCCAGCTTGCCGCTGCAGCTACCCACGGTCCCCTCAGCCCACTTTCACCTCCTCAGGCCAATGGCCACCTTTCTCCACATGAGGAACAAAGGCATCAGCCACAGGAAGGGAGGCAGAATGGAACCTAAAGGTTGTCCTGAAGATGGCAGGCACTGCCTTAGGCTTCCTTCTCTTGGTTGGATAATACAGATTTATTTAATCAATTAGAAAGTACTAGAGATGTTGGGTGTGGTGGCACATTCCTGTAATCTCAGTACTCAGGAGGCAGAGGCAGGAGGATCACCACAAGTTTTATGTTTATAGTCTACATAGTGAGTTCCAGGCCAGCTAGTACTATACAGTGATATCCTTTCTCAACTCTGCTCATCCCAATGCACAGAAACAAAGAAAATACTAGATATTACTATTATTCCTTATGTCTGAATTAACCTTTGTGCCCCTGTAGTTTAAATGTCCCCACTTCCTCTGTCATTCAACTATCTTATGTCCTACATTTTATTTTGCATTTTAAGAACATTATAAATTGATATCTGATTACAAACCAAGACTACGGGGGCCAGTGAGATGGCTCAATGGTGCTTGCCATGCAAATCTGGCAACCTAGGTCCAATCCCCAGAAATGGAAGGAGAGAACCAACTCCACGAAGCTGTCCTTTGACCTCCAAACATCCTGTGACATTCCCCCAACATATATCAAACACACACAATAAATAAAAATTAAGTTAAAAATAAAACAAGATTAAAATCAGATGAAGTTTCACTAATACACACTAAATTAAGCAGATTAATTTTAATCTTACAAAAGAGGAAGGGTATTCTGACACCTAACAAAACACCTGGGACTTGGAGGAATAGAGGGGGCAAGGTGAAAGCCTGCAGCTCCTGGACCTGGTGACCTCTCCAGCCCTAGTTCTAGTCTCCAGGTCTGCCCCCTGCTTTCCATTCCTTCTGTTCTTCAGGCCTTTTGCCCACAGAACACCTGTGATGAGCAGACGCTCTGTAAAGGCTTCGCTTCCCAAGGCACACGGACTTCCATGGAGGGCAGAGGCTACGTGGCCATTTTTGTATCCCTGGAGCATCAAGTGGGCTCAGTGAGCCTACTGAGAAAAATGACTGTTGGAAGGTAAAAACAAATGCTGCTTAAAACCTTGGTATGAAGGCTGGAGGCCTGCCAGGCTTGACAGAAGCCTAGGCTCTGTGTGGGAAACCAGTTATCAATGGGCAATGACCTTCATGAGTGGGAGAAGTGAGTCTTCAGTTTCCAGTGACCACACAGAAGGGACATTGCGACTGAAAAACAAAAAGGCAGTGTTTTGGCAGGACAGGAAGATGCTGCCAGATAACGCCTTGATGAGACCTGGCTGTCAGGATAGGAACAAGGACCCCTCTCACCCCAAACAAACACACAGCTGGGCTAAGTTAGATTTTCTGTTTACAACCACAACCCAGAGAGCCTGAGTAAAGTTTCACAAGGGTGCGGAGGAGCACCTGGTTTCTAAAAGTTTTCTCCCTTTTCGCCAAGGCTTCATTGCAGTAGCTAGACTGTATACATTCTCAATTTTAAAAATGTAAGCAAAATAAAAATAACTCAACGCAGAGTTCTTTCAAGAATCCCCAGTGACTCAACTGTCTCAGTTTCGCTTATCAAGAACCACGTGGTTAAGTCTGTGAGGGGCAAACACAAGTTAAGCATCGGGGCCCAGGTGGAAGAGGCAGGCCAGGTCTTGAGCCACCTGCAGCACAGCCTGGCCCAGCTGCCCATGGGGTGAGGCCCGCATGCAGGCTGCAGCGCTCGCTAAGGCCGCATGCTGAAAGGCTCCAGGCGCTCGGCCTCGGGTAGCATGCTATTGAGCCTCTCCATGAGTGGCACGGTCTGGTCAATGCCCATCTGGATGCGGCGCAGGATGGCCGACATTTCGTTCACCTTCTGGATCTGCTCTGCGTACTTGGCATATCTTTTCTGACGCTCCTGCATGAAGCTAAAGAGGGTTTCCACGGACAGATCCATCTGCAGGAGGCAAAAAGAAACAAAACACATTACACTTTGCTTAACTCTGTCCTCTAGAGGGAGGGTCAGGTGTCCAGCCGGAAGTCTAGCGGAGGCTGACTAGTGTCAGAGGCAATGACTGGGGCAACTTTGCCCAGAACCATCTGGGGACTAGCAAGGCCCGCCCTGGGCTGTTTTGGGATGTCTGCTTTTCATACTTGTTGAGACTCTTGATTTCTATGAAAGAATCCTGGGGCCAAGAGATGGCTCAGTTGATAAAGGTGCTTGCTGCCAAGCCTGATGAGACCTAAGTTTGATTCCTGGGACTCACATGGTGGAAGGAGAGAACCTGTAAGTTGTCCTCTCAAATAGCATGCCCATGCACGCACTAAATTTAAAAAAAAAAAAAAAAAATCCTGGATATAGAATCAGATGGAGCAGGATTTGAACCTGGCTCTGGTAGGTGAGTGGCTAAAATTTATCCTTTCTGTCTTGAGCCTTCCTCTGCAAAATCAAAACGCTTGTCATATATCACATAACTACATTTGTTTTTGTTTGTTTGTTTGTTTTTTGGTCTTTTTGAGACATGATCTCCCTATAGCCCCAGCTATCCTGGAACTCACTATGTAGGCAAGGCTGGCCTTGAACTCACAGAGATCCGCCTGCCTCCGCCTCCCAAGTGCTGGAACTACAGGCGTGCGCCACCACACCCAGCTTGAAAATTTAAGACTTTTTAAAAAGCAAAAGTTTATAAACTAAAAACATTTTTAGTAAGTTAGAGGTAATTTATTGGGGAAACTAGAAAGTGTGCAGCCTGTCTATGGTGTGTGGTCTATGGTGTATGGTCTATGCATGGTCTATGGTGTGTGGTGGTATGTTCTATGGTATATGTTCTGTGGTATATGGTATATGGTGTGTTATCTTTGGTGTACGGTGTATGGTCTATGTCTGTGGTGTATGGTATATGGTTTATCACCTTTGGTGTATAGTGTATGGTGTATGGTCTATGAGTATGGTCTATGGTGCCCATGGTGGTGTTCCTGGTCATGCACTCACTACTCCCCACTCACCAACACCCACAGCGCAGGTCCTACAAGCTCCACTCATGCTAAGTGTCCTACACACGTGGGCTCTTATCTTTTATGCTGTATTTTCTACGGTTAGCTGTGTTGAGGCACATAGATCCTTGCTACTGTGTCACCGCCTGCAATCTCCAGTCCCAGAATATACTATCCAGGCTGTGGTGTAGAAGAGATGGGCACTGTCCCGTAGCCCAGGTGAGAGTGGGCTCTACCACCCAGCTATGTATACATGCACTCTGTGCCTAAGATGAGGAAGCACACAGTGCAGCTTTAGAATGGCCCTGTCATTAAGGGACACATGGCTGTAATTTCAGACTTGCAAGAGAAATGGAACAGCACACGCAGACATCTAACTCGGGGCTCAGCAGGGTCCAGAGAGTCTTCATCCCTTTCTATCCCTGAATGGCTGCAGGGAACTGATCGGCTGGGGAAGCTACAGGAGAAGGGGTAGCTCCCTGACAGCACCAGGAGTGCCAACTTGGCTCCAGCCCACATGGGGGACCACGGTTGTGTGGGATGCTGCGTACTGTGTGCCTAGTGAAGGTGAGGGAACCTCCTGTATTCCACGTGCCTGTACCCCCTCTGCAAGGACCTCACATCTACCTCTGCCCCTTTCCTTTCTAGACCAGGAGAGAGACGGGCATACTTTCAAGATCTCATTTCAACCCTAAACTTCTGAACACAACTGTAGTCACTCCTCTACCCCAGGAGTGCCCTTCCCAGCTCCAGCATCGAGCTCAGAACACCTTGCCACACAGCCTCTGAAAGAGCTTTGTTTTTTCCTTAAGATTTCATTTATTTTTATTTGTGTGTTTTGTCTGCATGCATGGAAATGCACCATATGTGTGCAAACCTACAGAGGCCAGAGAGGGTGTTGGATCCCCTGGAACTGGAGTTAAAGACGGTTGTTAGCCACCATGTGGGTGCTAGGAACTCAACCCAGGTCCTCTGCAAGCGCAGTCACTGCTCTTAACCACTGAGCCATCTCTCCAGCCTCTGGAAATGCTTATAAGAGGAACAGGACACCAATGCTAGGCCCAAGGAAAACTAACCCATTCTACTTCTACGTGGTGGGGTGAGGGAAGAGGTGGAGGTGCACAGCATTGGTGCTTCCTGAACTATGCTGGTCTGCAAATTCTCAGGGGACCAAGAGGAGCTAGTGGGAGGAGGGCAGGCACAGGGGCAAAACCCAAATCCAGCCAAATGAGAAAATCAAACGATGAGGAAATGGTGTGCCTTCAGAGGGTCCACCTGTTCGATCGCGCCATTCTGTGGCCAAGTGTACCAGGGACTCAGAGCTCCTGAGGGCTGGGCCACAGGCCTTCCAAGATGCCCTTAAGTCAGTCTCACTTGGGTGGGGCAGTGACAGTGGGAAGGTGCAGGCAGCACAGCTCGCTCAGCTGCTCAGAGTTTGGAGGCAATCTTTAGTCTGTTCTACGTGGCTGGGGTATTCTCAGCCCTCTATCCTCAAGTCAGCCAGCAGAGGCAGATACATGGGGGCTGAACACATGAGGCATTCACATGAACCAGCCTCTGAGGCTCAAGAGGACCATGGCTAAAGTTACTGGCAATCAGCTCATCCTCCCTGATGTGCAGCTCAGCAGTTTTAGCATCTTGTGAGGTTTCTGTTCTGATGCACACACTTCCCTGCAGTGCCCCATGTCCAGCTAACTTGATGTTTAATGTGTGCAGTTCTTATGGCAGAGTCACTTTATGTTCACCACATAGAACACACATACCCAGGCGTGCTGCTCCCACAAGCTCTGTCATGTCTCTGAAGACCAATTCCATTATCATCCATGATATAAAAATATAGAGAGGAAACCTGAGGCTCAGTGGCCTCCAAGGTCTCACAGTAAGAGAGCCCTGATAGGACTTCAGCTCTCCTGGGCCTAGGGTCTTCCTCTTCATGCATTTCCTAAGTGGAAGATATGAACCCCTCGAGGTGCACGACACTTCAGTTGGTCTGTGGCCTGGCATTAAAGAACATGAGTCATGTAATAGAGTAGTGGATTATCGCTTTCTAAAATTCTTCCCGTTCTTTGATTGTTGCAAAGAAACTTGCAATTTGGTGAGAATCTGGAAAGGTACTGCAAAGCTGGTGCTGTGGCTCCCTGCCTTTACCCTCCAGGCAGCGCTGTCTCTGACCCAGAGTCCACCACTGTTCTATCAACTCGAGGATACACTTATCCAGGGGCTTTTTGCTTTGCAGGGCCCTGCCACCAAGCTACAGCCCCAGCCCTACCACTACAGCTGTAACCACAAACCAGAGCCGAATGGGTCTCTCTATCTTCCCATTTGGACCACCAGGGATACAGCTTTATTTGCCTCTCCTAGTCCCGTTTTTTAGCATGTAGATTCTAAATAACAAGAGAAGACACATACTGATGGCATTAGAGACATTTTATTATCTAAGGACCCCTCACTCCATAGCCACTCAAAAGACATAGCTTAAGACAAGGCAGCTGGCCCCCAGCTGCAGCCAAAGGGCAGCAGTGCATCTATATGCTCACGACTCTCAGCAGTCCACTCACTTCCAAGCAAAGGTTAAGACCACAGAGTTGGAGACAGGCTATCTAGGTCTAAGGGCGCCTGCTATCCAGTCTCTGTAGAATTTGGAGAAATTACTTAGATTCCACTAGGGCAGGGATCCTGGACTGCTTTAAACCTTGAGACATCATCTATACCTAGCACATAATAGGTATTGAAGAATATTTGTTAAATAAATGAAAACCATTCTCCACTTGCTTCCTTCTCTGTAAAGTAATGGCAGGTGGTCACGTCACAGGATTTGATAAGGGGTGGATGAGATGGTCAGCACCTGCCAAGGTGAGTCACGCATACACCATCCCATAGATGCCCAGTCCCAGCATGTGCCATGCACCATGCTAGCTCCCAAGGACAGAGATACTCAGAACCAAAACTAGTTCCACCCACATGCGCACATTCACATGACTCTTCTTTTCCATTGTCTCTGTTAACATAATTTTACTATTCCAGGAAACACAGGCAATCCCAGGAAGATAAAAGTTGCAAATAACTAGATTTCAGGAACTTCCAAAAGAAACCCCAACTATTTAAACAAACTATTTGATTTTTCCAATAAACAGTGAACAATTGTTTATTCTCCACAACTCATGTTTTAAAGCCCTGGTCTCGCTGTGGCCACAGGCCTGTGTTCTAGTCTAGTATGATAGACGTATCTGTCACAGCAGCCTCTGGCGCCTTCTCAAATGCCAGCTGGTGGTGGTCTCCTCAGCCTCTGCTTGGTCTGTCTTCCCCTCTGCTGCAGCTGACGGGGTTCATCCACATGGACCATGGCCACATCCTTGGGCTAGCAGGGCGGTGAACTAGAAGCCCGAGCCCATTGGGACTTTCATGGGTAAGAGCAGTACCAGGCCAAGAGAAAGGAGTAAACTTTCATTTTGTTTGTCTCTACAATCTGTGGTTTCTGTAGCACTAGCCCAATAAACGAGGTAAAGCCGCTGCCCTCAAGAAATTCATAGCTCAGTTAAAGTCCTCCTTCAAACCTTGCCCTACGTATTCATTATCTGTTTGGAGAGACGGGGTATTTAAAAGGGCATTTGGGGGAAAGATTACTTGTGGGCAAAACTGTAGGTTTCCCTGAGATACCTGACATCAGCAGACTGTGCTTACATGGGCTCCAAGACCATCACATGCACACCATTCCACAAACAGACCTGACACACCATCACATGCACACCACTCCACAAACAGACCTGACACACCATCACATGCACACCACTCCACAAACAGACCTGACACACCATCACATGCACACCACTCCACAAACAGACCTGACACACCATCACATGCACACCACTCCACAAACAGACCTGACACACCATCACATGCACACCACTCCACAAACAGACCTGACACACCATCACATGCACACCACTCCACAAACAGACCTGA